ATGAAAGATACCAATTCTCAGACAGTCCAAAGACTCACAAGCAGTTTAGTGTAGTCAAATGTTAGTGGTAGAATGTAGATGGTGGGTATATGGGTGTTCACAGTATATTTTCTTCAGTTTGGATGATTGTTAGAAGATTTTCATAATAATAAGTTGAAAAACCCCACGAAGGGAAAATAAATAAAGGCAAGAACAGAAATGAACAAAATAAATAACAAAATTCTGGGCCGGCCCCGTGGCTTAGCGGTTAAGTGCGTGCGCTCGGCTGCTGGCGGCCCGGGTTCGGATCCCGGTGCACACCGACGCACCGCTTCTCTGGCCATGCTGAGGCCGTGTCCCACATACAGCAACTAGAAGGATGTGCAGCTATGACATACAACTATCTACTGGGGCTTTGGGGGGAAAAATAAATAAATAAAATCTTAAAAAAAAATAACAAAATTCTTAGAGGATCAACACCAACTTGAATGGCTCTTTTAAACGACTAAAATTGAACATAACCAATCAATAAAAAGCAATGGATACAAATAAACAATATTAAGAATGTAAAGGAGGTAATAATTGCAAATACGTCATAAATTAATGATGTAAGAGAATATTATGAACAACTTCATACCAGTGAATTTGAAAACTTTGGTGAAAATAGGCAAATTCTCAGCAAAATAGTATAAAAAACTGACTCAAGTAGAAATAGAAAAGCTGAATGGTTATGTCATCATTAGAGAAACTGAATCAGTGAGGAAATTTTTACTACAAAGGATCACGAAGCCCAAACAACTTTACAGATACTTTCTACCAAAAAGAAGAGATCATGGCAATCTCATATAAACACCTCCAGGGAATGGAAAAAGAGAAATATTACCCAGCTTATTTTATAAGGCTAAAATAACTTGATACCAAAACCAATAGCGATAACATAAGTAGAAAATTATAGACCAATCTCACTTATTCATGCAGGTTAAAAAATCCTAAAGAAGAATATGTCCAACCAAGTCTTGTACACAAATATTCATAGCAGCATTTTTCATAATAGCCCAAAAGTGAAAACAACCAAAATGTTCATCAACTGATGAATGGGTAAATAAAATTGTGGTATAGCCACACAATGAAATGTTATGCAGCCATACAATGAAATCAAGTACTGATATACGAAACAGCATGGATGAACCTTGAAAACAATACACTGAGTGATAGAAGCCAGTCACAAAAGACAACCCTTTTGGGTTCCTGGACTGAATTCCAATGTGTGTGTGTGGGGGGGCTTCCCACACAACACCAAGCAATTCTCAGACACCAGCAAGGGTGTCTGAGAATTCAACTCAATTCAACTCAATTCTGACACTATCTACATGGAGATAGCATCAGATCCCACAGGTTAAGGGTTCAGTCCTACAAGACTGCCCCCCTCCCGGCTTCAGATGCCAGTCGCAAGCCCAGGCTGTTACCTGTGCTTCTGACCTCCTCAGGTTTGATTAATTTGCTAGAGTGGCTCACAGGACTCAGAGAAACATTTTACTTAATAGATCACAAGTTTATTATAAAAGGATGTAACTCAGGAACAGCCAGATGGAAGAGATGTATAGGGCAAGGTATGGGGAAAGGGACAGAGCTTCCATACCCTCTCTGGATGCGCCACTCTCTCAGTACCTCCATGTGTCCACCAATCTGGAAGCTCTTCGAACCTTGTCCTTTTGGGTTTTTATGGAGGCTTCATTATATAGTCATGATTGATTAAATCATTGTCCATTGGTGATTGATTCAAACTCTAGGCCCTCTCCCCTCACAGAGGTCAGGGGGTGGGACTGAAAGTTCTAACCATCTAATCACATGGTTGTTTCTCCTGGCAAGCAGCCCCCATCCTTGGGTGGGATCCAAAAGTCACCTCATTAATATAACCAGAGACAGCTTTGTCACTCTCAACACTTAGAAATTCCAAGGGATTGGGGAGCTGTGAGCCAGGAACTGTGGATGAAGATCATACATATATGAGAAATATATTTTGGTCATCTGAATGACCAAATATATATTTCTTGAAAATCACAATATGGCAACCACATATTGTATGATTCCATTTCTATGAAGTGCCCAGAATGGCAAATCTGCAGATACAGAAATTAGATTAGTGGTGGTTGCCTAGAGCTTGAGGAGATGGTGGGACTAGGGGATGTGGCTAAGGGGTGCGGGATTTCTTTTTGGGCTGATGAAATGTTCTAAATTGATTGAGGCGATAATTCTGCAGATATGTGAATACACAAAGCACCACCGAATTGTACGCTTCAAATGGGAGAATTGTATGGTATGGAATTATGTCTCAATAAAGCTGTTACAAAAGAAATCCTAGAAGATTTTAGCAAAATAAATCCAGCACTCTATAAAGCTGAAAATATACATGAACAAGTTGGATTTATCCCAGGTATGCAAAGTGGGTTTAACATTTGAGAGTCTGTTCATGGACTTCTCGGTAAAGATGGCAGATTGACCACAGGCTTCTATTTTCCCTCTATCCCAAAACATCCTCTAAAATCACAGTAAAAGGATTTGTTAAAAGCATAAGCCCACCAGGGTGTGAAGAATTGAAGAAGACAATAGCAGTAACATATTGGAAACTGGAAAGCAGATAGATGTATAGTAAATGACTTATCAGACCCGAGAAAGTTAAATCCTAAATACACTGGGGAAAAGGCAAGAAGCAACTTGACTTATACTGCAGAATACCCAAAGGGTTCAGGCACTGCCCATGGCACGTAATTCTGAAAATAGGGTTGAAGGGAAAGGAGAAGAAGGGGTAGTATTCAGAAGTCTGTGTAAGCAGCAGAGAAATCCCAAGATCCCTTCCCCCACTCAGTGGAGGTGGATCACTATGACTTCTCATCTCCTACTCCACAGGAAAGTTGAAGTGTAGTCTCTGGAGAGAGTAAAACAAGGAGTCTCTGCACTGGGGGGATGCTAGACACATTTGACCAAGACTACTATACTAAAAACAAGGTGATTAAGTAAATATGCATAACAGATATGAGAACCATTCCCAAACTGTTTCCCCAGCCCTTCTTTTCCAGAATGTCGACAACCAGACCTTTACAATTGAGTCTGGAGATTGGAAGATAGTTCTATGGGCTATTTGAGCAGCCCAAGAGGCAAGACCTAGGTCCCAACATCAGGGGTTCTCTAAGAAGACCATCCAGCAGGATCACCTTGCAGTGAACCCCACAGTTAACAAGAACCACCCATGTCCTCCAAGCTTTGGATCAGCTTTTTGATCTTTCACTCTTAAATATAAGCAGACAACCGATGATTTCATTAGCTGTTTCAGGAAAGCTGTAGTATGAAGGATAGAGACCAAAACAAACAGATCAGAAGAAACGAAAACTATGCCAAAAGGAGAAACATTTTTAAAAATTCAATTATTACCAATAGTCTCTGAGAGATGAGCTATTATAACCATAAATTAAAAGAATCTATTAAGTCAATCAAGCACGTTAACATATTAATGGAAGAAATGATGTGATTATCTCATTAGATGCAGAAAAAGTATTTGATAGAATGCAACATCTATTCACATATGGAAACTTGCTGTATGAATGGAGGCTGTGTTACTGGGAAAAGGATGGTTGTCCATGTGGGGTAAAACAAAGAAAGAAATTAACTGTCTCCCTATTTCACCACCATATGTTAAAATCAGTGCAGGCTAGATTATTACTCAAATGTGAAGGGCAAAACTTTATAATTTTAGGAGAAAATATGGGGAGACAAATTATGACCTCAGCATACGAAGGATTCCTTAAACAAAATACAAAAGCAAGCCACTTGGAAAAGATTGATATATTACATTAAAAGTGAGAACTACTTTTCATTAAAAAAAATACCATAAAAAGAAAGAAAGAACAATTATAGACTGTGACAGGCTATTTGCAATGCACGTAACCAACAAATGATTACTCTCCAGGATGTATGAGGAAGTACTGAGAAAAATCAGAAAAATGCAAGTACTTCAATATAAAAGTTAGCAAAATAAAACCAAATCTGAACAGGCAGTTCACAGAAGAGAAAAAAAAAAATGACTCTTAAACATATAAAAAGGTGGCCAATTAGTTAAGTAATAATCAAGGGCATGGAAAATCAAACCACACTAAGATGCCATTTTCTCCATATCAGGTCGGAAAAACATTAAAAAGTCTGAAAATACCAAGTATTGGCCAGGAGGGAGAGCACTAAGAGCTTGTATACACTCCTGGTACGTGTGTGGGTTGGTACAACCACAGCCTCTTTAGAAAACAGTTTGGTGATAGTAAAGTTGAGGGTGCACACATCCTATCACCCAGCAATTCTGTTCCCAGGTACACACCCTAGAAATCCTTCCACTGGTGCACGAATGCTCATGGCAGCATTGCTTATAAGAGCCCCCAAACTGGAAGCAACTCAAATGTCCATTGGTGTTGGAAGAGTTAAATGTATCATGCAATAGAATAATGTATTCCAATGAAAATGAATGAAATAGGACTAGTGCATCAACATGGGTGAATGTGAAGTATGTAATATGGAGCAAAAATTGAAGTCACCAAAAATACATACAATATGGTTCTATTGATAAAAGTTCAAAACAGGCAGAACTAAACAATATGTGATTTAAGGATGCTTACACACTCATAAAACCATATTTAAAAAGAAAAGGAGTTTTAAACACAATATTGATCTTTTCAGGATTTAATCTCTAAAGTATCACGGGCCTGTCAGATCCATAAAAGGAATTCTTGGGGGAGATTTTGGCGTACTATTTCCATGGTGAAAAGGGGTATAACTTCATGTGAAGGCCAGATTGGCTCTATTGTATTTCAGATGCCAGCTCTCACTCAGACATGCAGGATGGGATCTGCACAGGTCTCATCAGGCCACTCTGTTAGGATCTGATGGCAGCTGCTCAAGTGGAGACACAACTCTACCTCCTTCCCTTGGGCAGCCCGGCCAGACATCGTGAACCTGAGTCCTGTGATGTTGGTTTCTAGCAGGAGCACAGAGCAGCCAACTCCCTGAGCAGTGGTGCTCTGACGTGGACGAAGAAATTCAGCCTGGATTATTTAGCCCTGGACTTCAATTCAGCATCACCAGCCCCTGTACAGCAGGTAGGAAGAACTTTGTGTCTGACAATTCCCAGGAGATTCTATTTCTGTTTAGATTTTTCTGATGATTCAACCACGCATGTTCTCTTTGGAAAGTCTTAAACATACAAACATGTACAGTGAAGAATATTAAAATCAGCCCTAATCTGCCCCCCAGAAATCTTGGTGTATTTCCTCTGGGGTATGCTCTTTGGGTTTATATATATGAATGTATGCAGTATTCATGCTCTTCAAAACTTGGAACATAAAGTTTATAGGCAAATTTTTCTGGCAGAGATGCTGGTGGGGTAAAGGGCACTCCAGTCAGAGGAAAGGCCTACTTAGGGAAGAAGCAATAGCCTAGTTTGCCTAGACCCTGGGGAGTGGTGACAGGAGCCCTCAGTAAAGGACTTCAGTTGCCAGAGTGGGCCGTTTTGACTCCTTTGGGTAATATTCTCATCTATAAAGTGGGGATCAGAAATAATACCTACATCGAGGCCTATTATGAGGATTAAATGTGTTAATACATGCAAGCGACCATAGCCATTAACTAGTGTAAGCCGTGGAATAAGTAAATGGTAAGCAGTGGACAACAGCTAAATATTTTTGAACAAGGGATTGTCATAATCTAAATCGTGCCTAACAATGTATTGTTTGATGAGAAAAGCAACTTGCCAAACAGGAGATGTAGTATGATTCCATTGTGTGTGTGTGTGTGTGCGTGTGTGAGTGTGTGTGTGTGTGTGTGTGTGTGTCTGCAGAAAAAAAGTCTGGAAGACTTCCTTTCCTTTTTGCTGAATGAACTCCCACTTCCCCTTTACCTTTAATTTCATTCCAAAAACCTGAACTGGTACGCCAGAAATGCTGATCAGAAGGATGAGACTGACAAGTACAAAAGGTGCATTAGTCAGTTTTGGTAGGCTATGCAGTCAAGACAAATAACCCTCAAATCTCAGTGGCTTGCAACAGCAAAGGCTTTTTCAGTTGTTGCTCATGGGACAGTCCATTGCAGGCCAGGACCTTGGAGTTCCAAGTCATCTTCAATCCAGGGCCCAGGTGGGAGGAGCATGCTGGTCTCCTGGCAGAGGAAAAAAGAGAGATTGCAGAATCACAGGATGCCGCTTTTCTCTTTAGGATTGGCATGTGTCACTTCCATTCACATTATATCAGTCAAAGCAAGTCAAATGGTTAGAGCAAAGTTGAAGGGAGCTGAGGCAAAGAGACATTTATACACATACACAAAAAGTATAATAGCGCTTCTGCAGGGAACGACCCAGGAGGAAGGGGCAGCCAATATTTAATGACACTGTAATCTACCATAGAAGGGTTGACATTTTACTGAATTTTTTAATTTGATGTAATGAAAACCTTTTTGTTCTTTCCCTTCAGAAACTTCTCCTTTCAGAAGAACAAAGAGTAGACTATGTCCAAGTGGATGAGCAGAAGACGCAAGCTCTCCAGAGCACAAAGCAGGAGTGGACGGATGAGAGACAATCTAAAGTGTGAGAGATGTGGGCTTGGGCTGTGTGTGAGATTGGGAAGCTTGGGGCTTGCTTTGAGTTTTTTGCTAGAATTGCACTGATGGTCAACGCCGGTCAAGATTCAGAGAGAATGTGTAATTTCTGTGGGCTTGGCAAGAATCTTTGGGAGAGAGGATCTATTTGTACACATTGAACAGGGAGAAGAAGGAAGCAGTCTTCTCGCAGAGGAGGCTCTGAGGGAGTCCAGGCCCTGCCACTGCCCCCACCTGTCATAGCAGTTTCCTTCTCTGGCCACACTTGCTCATGCCCAGAGCCTCATGGATGCTTGGAGTTGGCTCCACAGTCACAAGAGGCAGAGACGGAGGATTCCACAGCCATGGACTGAGATGTAGAAAACCCCATTCATTCAGGCAGAGTTGGAACAATAAAAACAAGACTTGGGAGAATATTTTTCCCAGAGTTTGGTTAAAAATCTCTACAGTGAAGCATTCATAGTGCAGATTGGAGTCAGTATTACTACTGACAGGATGACATCTTTTGACTCCAATACCTGAAATTCTGACCTCTCTCTTGTGCTTCCTTTGGAATCATAAATTATCCCAGCAGAGAGGCGCCTGGAGACCATCCTGTCCCTGCCCCTAAAGACACGGTTGAGGAGATCAAACCCAGCAATGGTGACAGAATCTGCACTTCTTACTCCAAAAACTCCAGCAGACTAGTCATTTCTATCCCCAAAGAAAGACAATTCAAGTGACAGAGGCAATGAGTCCTGGGCTCCAGGTTGAGCATATCAGATGACACCAGTGGCTCTAAATGTCGTGGTTAAGCAGCTACCTGTGGCTGAGTGTTCCGTTGCTGTTGGCCTTTTCCCAAAATGCTTTCACATGCATCGTCTCATCTCTTCCCCTAAAAGACTTTGGATGCTCGGCTTGGCAAAGATTGTTGTTCCCACTTTGAAGAAAAGAAAATTGAGAAGCAGAGGAGGGAACACTTTGCTCAAGATCACTCACAGAGCCAAGACACAGAGTCAGGCTTAGAATACAGTTGGCCAGGCTGTCCATTGCAGGCTCATTCCACCACCTCACACTGCCTCTGAGGAGTGTGATGAAATCTATCAGTTTGGTCAACCTCGGAGGTGTGTGGGAAAACATGTACAGACACAAGTTGAGTCATCATCTCCTCTCCATTTCATAGGATTTTGAGCAGGTGTTTTTGTACTTGAAAGGTATGCATGTCAAGCCAATGTTTCTTTATATGGTGTCCAAATGGGGAACTCTAACATAATCAGTAGTTACCATTAGAAATACCTCTTGATGATCAGTGTGAAATCCATTCTTGGATCGTGTGGTCCCCTTGCAATGTATTTCCCGTCAGCTGGCTAATACTGGCAGAAGAATATTTGCGACCTTGGGGAAGACACAAATCATCCCTGGCTATCCTATGCTGGACCAAAGCTTTTGAGTGATAAAGAGTTATGACCACAAAAACAAACAAACAGAAAAACAATGAGTTCCATTCTCAGGTTTCCTGGCTAATTTTTCCCTTCTGCTTTAGTGATGACTAGGTCCCTTATGGAACACTGGGGTTCAGGGGATCCAGATGAAAGTCTCAATCAGGCATGGGATTTTACTTAATTTCCCTTCCTGATCCTTCTGAACACCTGCAGCAAGAAGACAGATCTGAACAACCAATAATTAAGCCGATACTGGTCTGCCATTCTGACTGGCACTATGTCGTACATATAAGGATGAATCAAATAGGCAGGCAGGTCTACAACAGTCAGGATTAATCAAAGCAGTTTTAGGCTTTGCTGCAGGGTTTCAGGGTTTCAGACTGCCCCAAAGGTAAGTAAATGCCAAAGTCTTAGTTTTTCATACCATGAAAGAAGTAATTTTGTTGTTCAAAGCAGCAGGATCTGGTAACATAATTTTCTTCCTGGAGCAAGGTGAGGAAAAGTTGCTGAGTGCCTTAACTGAGTGAAGAGTCCTTAATGAGCCTGGGCAGAGCAAGGAGCGGGCTCCCCACAGCTGTGGCCAGCTCCACATCACTGCACACCAGCTGGAGCCTGTAAGGAGCTGCCTTTTTCCCTATGGGACTTGCGAAGAGTCACAGAGCCTCAGGCAAGAATCCAGGTGTGCGGACTGCCAGTTCCCATAGATGGTAGCTTCCTTATGTGTGGAGCACCTGTGTTTAGATCATTGCTTACTGACAAAGGCTGGTGCAGAAAAATTGTATGTCCAAATGTCAAGAACCATACCAGATTGAAGATAGATCAGAAAAGTAAATACATCTGAAACTATGTCAGTAGTGAAATGTCATCCAACTGACCAAAAAAAAACAAAAACAAAAACAAAACACAACTGTTTCTACAGGGACGTATTTCTGCACAAAGCAATACACAGTTGAGTGGTGTTACTTGTTTGGAAGTGATTAATTAGGGATTAAAAAAACAAAGATGACTTCACCCTCATTTCCAGGGTATATGCGATTATGTCCTGCTTTGATAAAACTGCTAATGGGTAGCTACACAAATGTGTAATGAGTCAGGGATACAAAGTACAGGCAGTTTTTGAGCTGACAGCAGCATATGCTCCTGAGAAAGTCACCATAAGTCAAAACAATGCTGGCTAATCTTGTTTTCTGGTGGAGATACTCCATGTGTAACAGTGGGCTATGATTCTGACCAGGGTCTGAGGGTTTTTTTTTAACAGAAATGATCCCAGATATTCCAAGTCAAGTGCACACGGCGTGTCTGTACACTGTGTGGGGTGCACCTTCCTAGAGGATTGGGGAATCAACCTAAGGACAATGCAGCAGTTACTCCCACATTATTTTCTCTAGTTCCTTTCTGCTTTGTTTCCTTCTGGCTCGTTTCGTTAGGGAATTCCTCCAGATCAGGAGTTGTGCAGTGCAGAAGAGGGGACCGAAGGGTCTCAAGCCTGCAAGTACCTAAGGCCACAAGCCCAGGAATGTTGGGAGTTAAGCTTTCCTTGGGGAGGGAGGAGCCCTGGGGCCCAGCACACAGCCTGGCTACAATGGCACGGAGTGATCCTGTGGGGGTCAGTGTCCAGGCCACTTCACTATGGAGCAAGGATCAGCTGAATCATGGCCTTTAGGTCCCAATCGAGACTGAAGGCTCCCTTCAGGACTGGCTTTCTCCCTTCAGGCCTCCTCAGTCCCCGTTCATACCATCTTTGTACTCACAATCATGCAGGTTTTAAAAAATTCATTGTATTTTTACTAATTCATTTCTAGCATTAATAAAAGTCTTATAAGGAGGAGTCATGACTTAAGTTCTCTCATTTTTTTTAAGTGATGACATCCAGTATAAATACAGAACACCTTTTGAAAGCTGAGTATGTGAAAATAGACTTCATTGCCATTTTCAAGTACAACAAACTTAACCTGACTCACGTGTAATGACCTACACACATGTTTTTTCACTGCACACAGTTGAGCAGATGGCTGTAATGAGTACAGCTTCTGCTCAGCCAAACCACATCTTGACATCTTTTTTCTACATCAGAAACTAGCTTTAATAATTGGCAGTGATATCAATGGCCCTCCCTGATACCATGTATAACATGACCTTCGTCATTACTGACATTAAAAAGCAACAGACCCCAGCCTGCCTCTGCCCAGCAGGCGTCTTTTGTGCCACCACCTCCCTTTTCTCTATGGCTGAGGCCCCCAGCTGCCATAGGTGCTGGGTCAGTGGCATCTCTAGGCCACGAAGCAAGGCTGGGACACCAGAGTAGCGGGGGCTCAGTTTGGGGGAAACAGGCCAAAGGCAGAGAGGAGACAGGTTCAGGGAATCCTGGGGCTGAGAGAAAGGAGGAGAAGCCACGTGAAATTCCTTGCCCTGCTATAGTATGAGGCCGACCACCATGAACGCATTTTCCTGACACACCCAGTCCAGACTCAGCCCCTGACCCAAAGAAGAGCAGCTTGGCCCACAGAACTGACCTGAGAAGCAGGGACCAGGAAACCTAACCTACAGGGGCCTTGAACCCCAGGCCTCTTATGCTCTGGCCCCTTTAATCTATGAGACGCCTCCCTAAGTTTCCAGCTTCCTACTTCTCCTTTATTTCCCTTGACCTTAAATTGCATTTATTGTTATCATTTCCTTATTTTAATTGTGCTATTTGTTTTATAAATTTAGTTTTTATTTTCTGCAACTGAGAGTGTCTGGCATGGATGCAGGCTGGAACAGGGGGCCCAATGGGAGAGAAAGCAGAGCTGAAATGCAGACCCGCCACACACAGGCACTACATTTATGACAGAGGGAGCACTGGAGAGCCTTAGGGACCTGAACACCTTTCCAATCAAGGGTGCTGGGTCACTGGATGGAGAGCCACGTGGACAATAATGAACCTTGACCCCACTCTGCTGCCATGCACAAACATCTATTCTAGGTGGACCTCAACTGGGAAGGCAGAACAGTCAATTTGACCTGTTCCCTCCACTTTATTGGGTCCATTTTGCTTCTGTCCACCACTCCTATTTGGGTCTTTGTTTCATGGTCAAAACCTCTATTTTAATGAGTTTTAGCCTTTGTTTGCCTTCATGTAAAAGAACACAACCTAACTGTTTTATGTCTGTCTTGAAAGTTTAAATTATTTCAACTTTTTGTTCTTTAATTTGAGACTTTTAATTCATTTTCATATGGTGATAGGAGCCAGAATATTGGTTACTTTTATTGGGGAGATTATTACTGATTGGAAACGGCACAAGAAAACTTTCTAGAATGATGGAAATGTTCTGTATCTTAATCATCTGGTGGCAATATGGGTGTATACATATGTAAAAATTTATCCATCCATAAATTTAATGTTTGTGCACTTTGCTGCATGTAAATTATACCTCAACAAACCAGTTAGCATGAAGGAAAATAAAAGACTCCAGGGGAATTGAAAAGATAATGTAAGAAACACAACCATAAAACAGAGGAAACTACAGGAAAACTTTTTATTATCTTGGGTGTGGAAGACCTTCAGCAGTAAGGCACAAAAGACAGAAGCAATAAAGGAAATATTTATTTCTTTTGATAATTCCATTTAATTCACCACATATTTAGTGATTACTTGTTTTGTAACAGGTACTCTTGTAGGCACTTCAGATACACGAATGAGTGAAACACAGACCCCTTTCCCTGAGGAGCTCATGTTCTGGCAGAATGTAGTGGACACTGTTGGTGCTCTGCACAAATCCTCTAGGACCCCTTTCACTTTTTTTTTGGTGAGGAAGATACGCTCGAGCTAACATCTGTTGCCAATCCTCCTCTCTTTTTTTTTCCCTGAGGAAGATTAGCCCTGAGCTCACATCTGTGCCAATCTTCCTCTATTTTGTGTGTGGGTCACTGCCACAGCATGGCCACTGACAAGTGGTGTAGGTTGGCGCCAGGCATCCGAACCTGTGAACCCAGGCCGTCAAAGTGGAGCACGCTGGGCTTAACCGCTACACCACAGGAATGGCCCCCATCCCTTTCACTTTTTGATATGCCTTTTTCTGACTTTAATGTGCTTTGTGCCCACACCTGGGACTCTCCCTCAGAGGTGAGCCCCTCAGGCGGTTACTAGAGCTGCTTTACTTGTAAGAGCAGAGAACTGGAAGTGCCTCAGAATGGACTCTC